TAATACAATGGGACTAAGGCCAAAATGGATAAAAATAAAATACCTTTCTGGGCCAGTGTGATTTTGTACTTGCAAAACTCCCTTTTTTTCATAAGGAACATGAATATCTTGAATATTTAAGAATTTATTTAAAAACTTTTTCCACATTTTATCATTATTTCCAATTAATTTAGTTACCCAGTTCACAGTAGATAATTATTTTATTATCCATTCATAATTTGCTTTTTTGAAATTTGGAATCATAATCTCATTATTCCTTATCTCCATATGCAGGAAAACATGAACAATGATTACTTGCACCCAGATTTTTCCCAATCTCCACCCTGTCAACCATTTTTTATATTATAATTTAACAATAAATCTAAAATATCATTGTTCCTAGTAGGTTCTCTGATAAAATGATGAAGAAAACCATCCAGAACAGTTTCTAAAAACCTGTGTCTCTCATGATTTGATTCTGATAATCTCCAATCTATGTGTCTGAAATTAAAATCTTCCATAATTTTAATCTCATTAGTAGATGAATTCCTTATTCAGTGTAAAGTTTCTCATTAATTTCATCAGTTTCATCTGGTGGTCTATAACCAAAAGACTTCTTCCCTTATAATCATTAACAGAAACCCAAACAGATTCAACCTCATTACTATTATCTTTAATATCTATGAGCTTTGATATCTTCAATTTGAACATGATACTCCTCATCCTCTTTTTAATACTCCATCCCTATTAAACAACCTATAACCCTGTATGTCATAAAGACTCATCATCAAAATTGTATACAATTCACCATGTTTCAGTTATTGCCATTGCATCAAATTTTTCTGTTTCAACTGGTGCTCTAAGATCATTCATTTTTTTTTCTATATCAAAATAATAACAGTTTAGCCTACTGTTAAAACTACTTTTGTATTTTGTTCCTACATTATACTTTTCTCTAGATTTTATTTTTCTTCATTAGTCTGGCCCTCACCACTGTTTAGTCCTAATTTAAAAATGCCCATACATTAGAGTTAGTAACCCTTGCAAACAAGACAACCCCTACCATATTTAAATGTAAATCATCTATTTGAAAACCTCCCTTTTCCCATTGAACTGATTCCACAAATCCAACCAACAAATTTGCTCATCCTTACATATTAATCCAAGCCTTCTGTTCAGCCCTAGTGACCTACTTATAATTTATCCCCACAATTAAATTTTGGCAGTATTCCTCATACAAGGGTTGTCCAAAAAGAAACTGGAATGTGTGATTTTTCTGATAAATATTACATTTGAGCATTTTAATGAGTAAACAATACATTACATATAACTTAACAAGCTTATTTTGTGTGTTGTGTTTTTTTTAATGAAAGAAGTGTGCAGTGTTAAATGTCATGGAGAAGATCAAACTTCATGAAGTGTTCAGATATTTTGTTAAAAAGAAAATAACACTGCAAGAAATCATCAGTATATGGAAGCATCATTAGGAGAGGGTACTTCAGCATATTCAACAGTGAAAAAGTGGTATGCTGAGTTTAAGCACAGTAGACAATCATGTGATGATGATCCGAGTTCAGGTCACCCCTCGACATCGACCACAACAGAAATTGTGTATAAATTTCGTGATTTAGTTATATATGTTCAAACAATTACCACTAGGAAGTTAGTAGAGGAAGAGGGAATCAGTAAAAATACTGTAGCAAGCATTTTGAGTGACAGTTTGGGCATGAGTAAGGCTAGTGCCAGATGGTTTTCAAAAATGTTGTCACCTGAGCAGAAATGGATACGAGTTGTTGAAAGTCAATGCCTATTCCAAAGGTTTCAATAGATTTGTAATTATGGATGTAATGTGGGTTCACCACTTCGATCCAGAGACAAAAATGCAAAGTTTGCAATGAAAACATCTAAGCTCACTCAGTACAAAGCAGTTCAAGTCACAACACTCTGCAGCAGAGGTCATGGCATCAATATTTTGGGATGCTAAGGGTATTTTACGAATTGATTATTTGGAAAGGAGTCAGACCATTACAGGAGATTTGTATGCATCCTTAATGAACAACTTGCATTAAGAAATCAAAGAAAAGAGAAGACGATTGCTCATTATCCTGTTCCATCAGGATAATGCCCCAGCTGACAAATTGCATATTGCTTTGAATACCATCCATGATTCTGGCTTTGAATTACCTAAACACCCCTCTTACTCACTGGATTTAGCTCTAAGTAACGTTTTGCTCTTCCCTGACCGTAAATTCTTTCTGAAAGGTTGAAGATTTCAGAGTGATGATGATCTTGCACATATCATCCGGTCATGGATTGAGTTATTTCAGAAGGGCATAAAGGCCTTAGAGTACCGCTGGTACAAGTGTATAAACTCAAGAGGAGATTATATTGATAAATAAATCAGAATTGAACAAGTGTCTCTTTTCTTTATAGTTTGCACTACAAACTTTCAGACACGTCTTGTAGAATTATGTTATTGTGGTTGTTTTCTTTGAATGTTTTATCAATGCCTTGTACTTAACAGTTAGATTCTCTGATCTACCCTTCCCTAGATCATTAGCCACTGTGTGCAGTACACACACACACTGCATCACTGTTAGCACCCTTTACTATATTACTTGCTCTGTCAGTTATATCTTACACCCCTGCTCCTGGATAGCATAATTTAATTCTTGTCTCCTTATTTACTCCACAGACTATCCTGTCCATGTACAGTACTAAAGAATCAAATATAACAATAATCTCCTGATGTTTTTCATTCCTATCTTTGTCTGTCTCCCCTTTTGTTATCCTTTTCTCTCCTAGTTCCTCATCTGCACAAGCTAAAGACTGAAAGAGCAACAGCTAACCAAAGTCATGCAGTTTGATATGGAATACTATTATAAAGATTAGCAGCTAGCGAAGGTCATACAGTTTGACCTGAAACATTATTATATTGAGTAGCAGCTAGCCAAGGTCATACAATTTGACCTTGAAACATTGTTATTATATTGAGTAGCAGCTAGCCAAGGTCATACAATTTGACCTTGAAACATTGTTATTATGAAGTGTAGCAGCTAGCAAGGTCATGAGTTTGATCCAAAATGTTATTGTAAAGAATAACAGCTAGACAAAATCATGTATCTTGACCTGAAATATTATTATAAAGTGTAATAGCTCACCAAAGTCATACGGTTTGACTTGAAACATTATTATAAAGAGTAATAGCTAGCCAAAGCCATACAAGTGGATTTTAAACATTATTATAAAAGTAACAGTTAACTAAAGTCATGCAGTTATACCAGAAATATTATTGTAAAGAGTAACAGCTAGTCAAAGTCATGGAGTCTGACCTGAAATATTATTTCAAAGAGTAACAAGTAGCTAAAATCAGGCAGTGTGACCTAAAATATTATTATAAAAAATATCAGCTAGTCAAAGTCATGTAGTCTGACCTGAAACATTATTATAAAGAGTTATTATAAAGAGCAACAGTTAGTCAGAGTCATGAATTTGACCTGAAACTTTATATTTGAGAGTAGTCATTAAAAATATAATGTTATACTGTATTTGTAAGTATTGCTTAACTGAAGCAAACAGTTTAATCAACAGTTTATATACAGGGTTAAGAACATTAAGTTTGATTTATTTTGCCACACATTGTTGTGTTCTGTCTGATGATTGTACATCTTAACAATAGTTCTACAGCATAGATTCCATTTTTAAAGGCTCTGCCATAAGCTTGTTGTGTCCAAAGCATACTACTCCTCTCTATATGCTTTCCATAATGCATATAGTGTATAAGGATCATGATTTCCCAGCATACATTTTAATAGTCTGATTGCACAGAAATACAAGGGCACTACAACCATTGAATGGGCCAGTATAGGATAAGGTTTGTTAAAATTATCAAGGTACACAAATGCTTCATCAAAATGTGACCAAGTAATGGCATTCACATGTTCCATTAAACAACACAAAGAAAAAGGACCTCCATGTGGAAAATCAACATAAGTCACATGTATACAAGTTGCTTCCAAAACATATCCATGAAAGGAAGATAACTGTAGAAAATTATATCAATGGAACATGTGAATGGCTTTTGACACCGACCTTTGTGTTTGTGATATCTCACCTGTTACAGACACTGCACTTTTCTTACCTCAGCAGGGGTATGACTTGTTGCAAGTCTGTTTATGGATGGTCCTGGTTCCCTAAGTAGATCCATATTTTTTTGTTTTCCAATGCCATTAACTACAAAGTTCTTCTATTTTGTAAATTATAAATCCCAGATTTGAACAAATATGTATTGTCTGAGTGTATGAATATTTTGCATTGGAAAGAGCTGTTACATACCCTTCCCAAAAGTGATAAATTTTTGGTGGCATAAAACTACTACAATATGGCACTCAATATTATAATGTACCACTGAAACTTTATAATAGCTGTGGTTGTCATGTGTCCTGCTGATTATAACATAAAGTATTCAAATCTTTATATACCAGTACTTTACACTTAAGAGTACAGGAATTGGGTAAAGTCTACAATTACTAAGATGCCACCTTATATCTGTAACTTGTCTCTTTATTTCTGGGAGTTTATTTCTTAAAATCATGTTATGTATTCAATTGACACTTTAGCTATGAATGTTGGTTAGTTAACATCACATACTGTAACTTGAAATTTTATCTGGGAGGAATGTTGGTTAGCTGCAATCATGCATTACCCTTTGACACTATATTTCAGATAATGTTCAGTAATGGTGCAGTTTTATCAAGTATTAGAATTGGACACTTTCTACTGAGTTGTAGAATCAAACACTTTCTGCTAAGTAGGAGAATCAGACAAGAATGAATGTAAATTCAATACATATTTTTCTAAGTTGATTAGTTTTAAAAAATACAAAACCATGAAATTTATGTGTTATGCTATTGCATTATAATATGTAAACTTCTTACCATATGCTTACATATTACTTAATAACATAGTATCAATACCAGATGTTGTAATTTTGAAGCACTATTATTTTTCTTTTTTTTAAGGAAACAAAAGGCACTTCAGAAAACCCATTGAAACTGGAAGAGATGAAAATATACGAAAGAAATAGTGCTTTATCAAATAAGGATCATGATAAAGAAATGGAATTGTTGTCTTCAAATCTTGGCTCTAAGGAATTTGTCAGATTACCAGAAGTGAAGCCAAAAGATTTTACTGAAAGTTTTAGTGATAAAAACTACTTGTTTCATATTGTTAGTGAAGAAACCCCAGCTCTGTTTTGTGTAAAATTAGATGAGAAAAAAGACTCTTCTGCCCAGACTTCTGATATTTCTACCATTCCTACCCCAATAGTTTCAACTTCTAGTCATCAAGAAACTACAACAGACCAACTAGTCCAGACATGTAATCCACTGCTAGACAACCATACACAAACTGACTACATTACTAAGCCCAAAAATATTTTAAATGCAAGAGGATCATCTCTTGATAGAGATATAATTTCAAAAAAGAAGGTTCCTTTCTCCTGTTTTCAGGATTATATTGGTAGTAATATTGGAACAGGTTCTTTATATCGCAGCATCAGTCGCCCATCCCTATCAACACAGCATACTGATTTTTCTCCAGCAAACTTCCAGTTTCAATCTGGTTCAGCTGCTGCTGGACGACTTTCTTTTTGGGATCTTACGGTCATTACACAAGATGTTAAAGATGCCACAGATATCATGAAAGACAAATTCAATACTAAAGTTATCAAAAGTGGCCAAAAGAATGTGGAAGAATTCACAGGGGACAGAAAGGAAGAAGGTTTTTTAAGAAATTTTTCGAATAGGGATTATGTTAGTAATATTTATGACTTTATTGAAAGTTTGAATTTTTCCATTTCTCTGGCATATCAAAGTACATTTATTTTAGATATGTTTCACCACTTCCTTACTCAAGTTAGGTACAAATGATTTTTTTTTTTTGTTTTAAACACATTTTTAGTTTTATTGTATTAGACATAGACAGTTAAAATCAACAGTCAATTATTTAACACATTTTTAATTTTTTTAACTAACATTAAAATGTACAGAACAATGCATTTTTATGTTTTATGGGGAACTAGAATGTTCATTACCAAGAAATAAAGTTAATTTCAGTGTAAATATTTTTTGATGTTTCTTTCAGCAGCATTAACATGTACAGGACAAATAACTAAACAATTTTTGTTTTTAATACATTTTTATGTTTTATGAAGAACTAGAATGTTAAGTTCTGTGTAAATGTTTTTAATGTTTTTCTGTAGTATTAAAATGCAAAAGACCATGAAATAGAGGGATTTTATGTTTCTAAAGCATTTTCATGTTTTATGGAGTATTAATACATTAAACCAAAAACTTAAGCAACTGCACCTAAAGCACCATATGTTTTATGCACTACTAAAATGTGCATAGTCAAGAAATAAAGGTAAGATCTGTATGTAAACACATTTTTATATTTATGCAACAATAAAATTTAGAGAATCCACTTTTGAGGTGGTAATAGTATTTAAACAGAGTCCTTTTGTTTAATGTGAAACATTTTTGTTTATGTGAGCAAATTATATCTTATGTTGTATTTCAATGTTTGTGTACTCAAAAAGGTTTCAGGGCTAACTGTTATTTTTATATTGTATGATATACTACAGAGTATTCATAACCAAGATGCAACACAACCTCCTAGCTCAAACTTACATCAAAGTATTGAAGAACTAGCCTTTCGATTAAGACAGGAAAGTGAAAAACATGAAGGAGTTGAAATCATTCAAATGATTAAGGTTGGTTTTGATTGCTTACAAAATTTCTTAAAGGTACTATCAGAATTATTTATGTTAAGTGTTATTTAAGATTTAGAGAACATTCGATAATATGCATAAAGATTAGTAGGTACTAAGGAAAAATCACTAGTAATTTTCTTAAATTGTATACATTTGAAATGAAAAAAAATATTTAAGATTTTAAATTGTGTACAGTCTTTATATGAAACTTGTAGATGTTATCCTGAACTTTAAAATTTGATCAAAAAGGCAAATGTACTAACAACAACTGTGATATTTGTGGAAGATACAGGTATCAGTTGTAGATAATTATACTTACTTTATGTTTATAACAAGTTTAAATAATAATATATTTGTAGAACTATTCTAGTATATTATTTTCACAATCAATAACTGAAATTTTGGATAATAAAAACCTAGAACACTCACTATTAAATGTAAAGTTAGTGTATTTAATATTTTAATTTGACATTTGTTCATACTAAGAAAAAATGTTACAACTTTTCTGCTTACTTTATAGAAACTGGGCTTTATTTTTTAAGTTTTTCATTAGCATATTTATTTATACTGATAATTAATCTATTTTCTCTCGAAGGAAGTAGAACAACTTGGTTTTATAGCAGAGGATCTTCCTATAGCATTGAAAAAATGTGAAAAGCAAAATCCAGTTTCATGGCTTCAAGAAAATTGGAAGAACATGACTGAAACAGTGGTGAACTTGGCACAAGAGTATTCTTATGATGAGAAGGAAGATTTTATAGGTATTATTTCTGAGGCTGAGGCTCAGGAATCATTAAGAACTCATGAAGGGGATATTTTAGCAGCCGCCAGTGAGTGTGTGAACAGTCGAAAGAGGAAAGTAAGAGAAACTTTAAAAAATAAACAAGATATTTATAAAACTAAAATGCACTACAAAGGTAAAATGTATTGCACAATTAAACTTTACTAAAAAAAGACATCAAGCCCTATTAGATGTTCTCTACATATTTAGGCAATGGTTTACACCATCATCACTGGGAGAAGCAAGGAGTTACAACAAGGGACAAATTATATACCTTAACAGATACATCTGCATACAAGATTTAAATCATTTACATAATTAGCCAGTCTGTTACACCCTCTACATTTACAAAACAGGTTTACAAAAATTTATTTTTATAATACCCATACCAAAATCTCTCTTTAGAACGATACTCCAATTTTTCATGATTTCCAAAGATTCTCCAATATTTAGTTTATTTTTATGATCAGTCAGGTTAACCAATTGAGTATTGTGTCAATTGGTAGAACAAGTGATTATCATCAAATGTTCAGCTGAAGTTGATTCATTAACTTTACGTTTATCTATAATATTTTTAAGTTTTAAGTTTCTGTATGTATGATTAATGTAAATTAAAACACAGTTGCATGGAATTTTTTGGATACCATATTTATTTTCATCTTCCACTTTGTCTTTAAGTTCAATGATAAAGTTTTGTAACTAATAATGGTGAGAAAATTTCACATTACAGTTAATAAGATTTTTAGGTATATTACCTATTTGTGTTGAAATATCCTGAGCGTATGGCAAGCACATTCACATTCACATGTAATCTGATACATTGTGACACCTTTAATCTATTACACTACATATTATAAATCTTCTCAATAATGTTAGAATGAATTCCTCTATCAATGGCAACTCCAACATTAAATATCTATGATAGGCAAAGATATTTAAAACCCTAAAAACAAACATAAAGAAAGCAGACCATTTTTGTGACCAGGAGTTGCATGATTCTCTATTTGGCCACATGACAACTGAAAATGACTTTCTGTTTACTGACATCAAAATAAAACCTTGATCCCATTTAATAGTCATGTTCAAAAAATTCAAAAAAAACCTTCTTTTCAGTTTCTAAGGGCTTAGCTATGGGATCCAAAGAGTCCTCTCCCTTGTGGGAGCTATTAATGCAATGCATAATTTGGAAACATATTTTAAATACCACTTCATTTAAACCAATTGTATAGCTATGTAGATGACATGTTTCTTGTGTGGTGGCATGGTAGCAATATGTTCATGCATTTAAAAACAAACAGACATAAATTCAGTCAGCTTTGGCATTCACTTCATGCTAGAAAGTGAAAAGAAGTGTTGTTTGAATTTTGTGAACATTACTGTTAAACTCTGATCACATAAATGGTTTGTTGTCTTTCTGAGTTTATTTTTAGAGTTTTAGATACCTGTATCTATTATAAAAGGCCTGGCATGGCCAGGTTGTTAGGGTGCTGTCCTATATATGCAAACTTTTTTACATTGCATGCCCCAAGCCTTCTGCACTCCTATTGGAGTTAAAGATTCCAACATGTCTCTCATGCAAATCATCATGCATCATCTTTCGACCAATAGGAGAGCACTACTATCATGTGATGCATGTGAATCCCTTTATGCACCACTACCGAACCATTACTTCTCATTTGGCATTGCTTGAGTTCAAATGTCTTTTTTTTTTTTGCTCATTACTTCTCGAAGTGGTTTAACTTAACTTAATTTACTTTATTTCAATAATTATTTTTTCACTTTATTTTCAAAAGTGTTTGATTTAGCCGTGTTTTGCTGCAAATTTTTTGGTATCAAGCATGAATTATGAAGTTAACATTACAACTTCAGATGCATCTCATTCGTTTGATGCCATACTCCAGGCCATAGTTGTGGGCAATCCGTTGGGGGATTTATCAGCCTTTATTTGCAGGGAGATTGAGCATTATATGGTACAACCTTTGTTTCTTGCTGTTGCCCCTCTTTTTCCTGAGCCTTTTAAGCCTGGCCAGGCTGACGAGGATTTTGATCATTTGTTCCCCCTCCCTCCCGAGTTTGCCATGCCTTCCCAAACCCTACCTGAGGATTTTGTTCAGCCCTTGTCGGCTTTCTCAGATTTTATTTCTCAGGTATGTGATACTTTGTCTGTTGTTCCTGTTTCTTATGACCCACATCCTTCTCTATTTCATGATTATGCCTCCCAACCTTATTTAGTTTTCCCCCATCCTCTGATAATTGGGTTCACACTGAGTGTTTTGCCTCCAAGTTAGGTGATGGTGTTAGTATGTCTCATCCCCCACAGGCTTCCAATTAGTCCACCCTCACTTATCACAGGGCGGACTGTGCATATCTGGACCAACAATTGTTAGGTTCAGTTTTGCCTGTTTTGGGGGTGGGATCAGAATCTCCCATTCATATTACCCATGCCCAGTATTCCTGCCTACATCTTACCATGACAGCTCTTTTGGGGTATCTCTCCTTGATCCATCTCTTGTCTGAGGCTTTTCACAGGAACCCTGAGGGGTTTTCTGGGGACATCCTCTCCCTCCTCATTTTCACGTCGGCCCGTCTGTCTTCTTTGGCTCTGGCCCTGCAAATGTGGTATATTTGTTGTTGGGACCTTTTGGGTCACGAGGCCTTATTGTCATGGACTCGTCTCCTGGCTCCCTATCTACGGAACCTGTGTAAGGCCCATTTTTGTGACGTTCATGTTTGACATGATCCCAGAGACTTTGGAGTCAAGGATGGCTTCGGTCCAACAACAGTCCACCCTTTCTCATCTGGTGGCCCATTGTTCCAGCCGGAGTTGAGTGTGGCACCAATATTCCTGTCTCTTGACCCTCCCCTTCCCAGTCCTTGCCTGTTCCTCCTTCCCGTGATGCCACTGTTCATCATTTTTTACGACAATGCATGGTACAGCAACAATGGTTCCGGTGACTACCTGGTGGGTTTGGGTCTGGTGAGAGCTCGTCTGGTGACCTTCATTCATCAGTGGAACCTTTTCATCTCCAATGTTTGGTTTCACTGAGTTTTGTCAGAGGGATTCGTCATACCCTTTCTTACCCTTTCTCCCTTGTCCCACGTGCCTGTTTTCTTTCCTCCTCCTCAGGATCCCTTGTCATCCCAGCATCTATCCGAGGCAGTGCAAGACCTCCTCACACAACGGGCTATTGAACCTACTCCACACAGTTCACAGGGGTTTTACTGTGTTTGTAGCTCCCAAAAAAGACTGGGGACTGGAGGCCAGTCATTGACCTGTCCTGTCTCAATCGATATGTTCACACCTTACACTTCACCATGGAATCTTACCTTACTCTTTGGTGAGCTTTTTCTCTGGGTCTTTGGATGATCAATATGGACATCTCCAATGCTTATCTGCATGTTCCCATATCAGAGCATTCTCGTCTTTATCTTCAGTTTGTCCATTGTGGCGTGGTGTACCAATTTTATGCCCTACCCTTTGTGCTGGCTTTGGCACTGTACATTTTCTGTCGGGTTGTGCAAACTTTTACTCTACATCTTCATGCCTTGGGGTTTTGCTTTTACTTTTACATGGACGACTGGCTTCTTCTTGCTCATTCTGAACGGGAGTCAGCCTGTGATGTTTGTCAGCTCCTTCTCGAAGCTGCTCGGGTTGGCTGGTTGATCAAATTGGAGAAGTCCTTCCTTCATTCTATCCAGTACCTCATTCATCTGGGTGTTTTCTTCAACACCCATCTCAGTTGGGCACAACCTTCTCCTCTCTGGCTCTATTCTCTGGAACTGGCTGTTCGGATGATGATTTGCATGAGAGACACGTTGGAATCTTTGATTGCAATAGGAGGGCAGAAGGCTTGTGGTACGTGATATAAAAAAGTTTGCGTGTAGAGGGCAGCACAAAATGGGAAAGGCTAATCTTGTGAGAGGAGGGAAGTACCTATCGGAAATATATTTTCAGTATAGAAAAAATTATAATACCATTCTAAATAATGATTTTGGTCCTGGATATAATAGAAATTAATTTTTTCGAAATTTATTTTGTAAATGTAGAGAGAATAACAGGTTGTCAGCTATTCTATGAGTGTACAAATGTTAAAATATATAAAGTTTCTTTTATTGTAACTTTTACTTTTAGCTTCTCATTGACATTTTTCTTCTCCTTAGTGTGTAAAATTTTTGCCATAACTTTTTTATACAAATACATTTTGGTTGGACACATTCCTGGACTGTCATTACCACTGAACATTTTACTTACAGTACTTAGTCTACACTCCCCAACAGAAAACATTTTGTTGTCCCACTTAGATGTCTTTGCATTGATGCTTGTGGTTTCAACTCTGCTCTCTTTAAAATTGGGATGTGGAATTTTCCTTTAAATCAAACTTATCATAGCTCACCAGAGATTATACATTATGTTTTTCTTGGCTGTCCTAATTATTCTGCATTTTGTCAATGCCTTTTTTTTCATTGTTTCCACTTGCCATCTTTCTTTCACTATACATACCCTTCTTAGAGTCATTGATCTCTCTGCCCCCCTCTAGACCTCAGATGCTGTCTGCCATTTTTATTTTTTTGCTTACTACCTCTTTGCTGGATTCTGTTTAATATGTAATATTAAAGATCTATCTCCTTTGTAGTTTTGTTTCGTACTTATCTCCACCATAGCTAATATTATATTGAAGTAGTTATACTTCAAACCTGGTAGATCACCAATATATGTGCCTCTTGAATAACTGTATTTAGCAACAACTATAACCTTTTTTCGTTAGTTTTACCTTTGATTGTTGATTCATGGTGTGAAAGGGCTAATAGGCTCAACATGCACCAATAACACCCAAAAGAAAGAAATAACTTGTTTCTCCTGATCATGTCAATGTAGATTATTACCAAAACATGTAGAGAATCTCCAATAGTCAATCAATTTACTTTGTAGATATTTTATTTTAGATCATTCAGGCCTCGAAAAAGCCTGAAAGACAATCAGGGGCACTCATTAACTGTTGTTTTTCTTCACTTCACACATGCTGAATTATTATGTAGTAGCTGAGTTTAGAGGCTAATGGCCAAATGTAAATAAATTTTGGCTAGTATAGTAATGTGATTTAGCTTCTAAATTGTAAAGATTTAAACTTTGGCTTGCTTGGGTATTATTGGTTGGCACCATCCTAAGGTGATCAGGAAGGTCAAGCTGGTGTGTCTGGAGACTGGAAATTGAGGGGGTGATGAGATGAGGAGAAGGAAGTTAGGCAGTTAGGTGGTGGCAACATTGGTGGTGGTGTCCAGGATTCAAAGAAAGTAAACCAAAGCTATGTCCAAAGAAAACTGCTAAGTTATTAGCGTTTTGTTTGACAGAATGTACATGAATATTGAAATCACTGAGATTAACTTTCTGTAATTTAGATAAAAGAGAGGTCTTGGGACCAATTTATTAAGTTGTAAGAGTTATTAATTTAAGATTGAAGTAAAATATGGGCATGGGTTTATGAACAGGTAAAAAAACTGACTAATAGTCCTTTTCAGGGCAGTGATCAAAAAAATTCGATCCGTAGAAATTCTGTTATGGGGGAAATGGGAGTACCCCAAGAAAAACACTTTCACTAGGCAAGCACTGAATAGACTACTCGCCTAGTGCCCAAATACTGAAATAAATAATGTAGTTTAGTAAATATCAGAATGAGTGTTTGTTTCCTACTAGTTGGTGTTTCTACATCAAATAATTTAGATTAGATATTAGTGCTAATTAAATGATTAATCATATTGATGGGGATACATAATGTTGCCATGTAGGGGGGTGTTGGATAGCTGTGAAAATTCATGGGTTAGTGAGTTACATTTGGTGGCGTGTTTATAAACTTTAGAGGCTAGTTTGAATATGTGTTCTTTAATTGGTGGTAAGTCTTTAAATTTACTAAGGTATATGGGGGAGTGTAGTTGGGTAATCTGTAAGGAATTGTAATTGCTAGATTTTGGAGATTTTTAATTTTATTTATTTATTTGGTAGTTAGACATATTACAGAGAACGGCATTACCATATTCAAAGAGAGGTCTTATATATGCTTTATAAATCTTGGTTATTGGTTTACTATTAGTATTACAGCCTTTGTTAATTCCTCCTCAGGGATGTAGATAGGTGACTCTGTTACTTGCATTACTTATGACATATTTCAGGTGTGGGGTTCAATTTAGTGTTTGATTTAGTGGTATTTCTAAAAATTTGACAAATTTTGAGAAAGTTATGTTTGAGTTATTAAAGGTGAGATTAAGGTTACAAAACTTTTTTGTTCTTTTACTGATTTTCCTGAGAAAGGTTATAGCTTGGGTTTTGGAAGGGCTGAGGGCTATATGCTACTTATTACACTATTTAGATACTGTATTCAATAAAGTTTGGACTCTTATATTTGCAGTATGCAAGCTACTAGAAGGACTCCAGATAGCAATATCATCAACATATTTAGACACTAGTGCATTAAGTAAGGATGGGAAAGGAATTTCATTGACAAATAGGTTGTATAAAGTAGGGCTTAACACAGAACCCTGAGGCACTCTGGCCATGAGAGTGAAGGAGTGGGAGCTTATATTGCTAATCCTGACACTGGCTGTTTGGTCTGTAAGAAAACTAGATATTTATCATGTAATGGGTGTGGGTATTTAGTTATAGGTTAATTTATATGATAGTCCATTATGCCATACCAAGTCAAAGGCTTTTTTGGTATGTTTTGTATTAAATCCTTTGTAAATTGATTCAACAAGTTTTACAAGGTGGTCAGAATTTTGTCTGTTTTTCCTACCACAATTTTTAATATTATTCACGATGCTGTTTGTTTTGATTTTTAGATTTAAGCGATTAGTTACTAATTTCTCCATTAATTTCCCTAAGAGGTTAAGCATAGTAATGGATCTGTAATTCCTTGGATCAGTAGGATTATTCTTCATTTTAGCAATTACTTTAATAACTGCAGACTTCCATAGGGTGGGACAGTATCCTGATTTAAGTGATAAATTGTATGTTGCTACTAAATGGTTAAAAGTAGAATCTAGGAAGTTTTTAAGGACCATATTGTTTATTCTGTCTTCACCAGGAGCTTTACGTTTTATTTTTTCAGATTTAATGTGATATCAGCTGCTGTAATAGATCTAATGAAAATATTTTTGGTTTCATGGTATGGTGGTATTGATACTGAAAAGGTGGGTGTAAATAGACAGTTATTTGTTGATACAAATGAATTTATTTCTTCAAAGTGCTGTTCATCAAATGAATCAAGATTAGGGGTTATGAATATATTTTTGAAATATTGGGTGAATGAATCGGCCTAGTCTTGGTCAGTTGTAGCAGTTTTGTTGTTGTAGAGAATTTTATTAATGCTATTTTTTGCTATGTTGTTAGTAATGGATTTGACTTTATTCCATAATTTTGAAGGATGGGGTTTGGATTTATCAATTGATTTACATAGATTTTTCCAGTTCTCTTGTTGCTGTTGTGATATTAATTTTCTGATGATGTTATTTTTGGCATTTATTAGTGGTTTAAGTTTGGCATTTCGTGTGTGTTTGAAATAACTTCTTAGTTGTCTTCTATTTATATTGAGTTTGTGAATTTCGGGTATTAATTTCCAAATTCCTGGGATGAATTTTAGTGATTTGCTGGGTACTGTTTCCTTGATTGGTTGGTTTATGGCCTTAGTTATCTCAGCAGCAGTATGAGAGAAATCAAAAACTTTGCTCTGTTGATTCCATAAGTATTAGGAAACTTAGGTTTATGGATTATCTTGTATTTGGGAAGTTTAAATTGGCTATTTTCATTGAGTAAAGGCTCATTTATCTTATGATATCAGTATTAATACATTTGCATAACTGGAGTACTTTGAATTTTTTATAAAATAGGCCACCCTGGATACTTACATGTAGGAAACAAACCATTACAATTGAAATTTTGGCCTACTCGATGTATGTTGAGGAGTTTTATCAGAATGCTGGGGTTACCTGTCTCACTGGATTCGAATTACAACTGTACTGCCATACAAATCTGGGATATGATGTAAGTGAAGTCATTGGAACTGGCATTTTCATTGCAAATCTGGATTACATTGGTCAAAAAGGTGACAATTCAGGCATACAACACTGGTAAGTCAATTTCCATTTTGGCTTGAGAAGGCAGGGGTTGAGCTGCTTCAGCATAGGTCCTCAAGGTGGTGCTGGTCAATGTTGAAGGTGTTATGGTAGTCGGTATCCAGTCATAAATTCCTATGGGCAGTGATCGTGGGTCTCTTGACTAATTTGTTAGCTCCACTGGTGGGGTTGAGGGCTTGGCGGTATATATCCGAAATGGCTTAGATGTGGCAGGGGTTCTCCACAATTGGTGCATCTGGTAACTTATCTGGCATTGGGGCATTCGGGTTACTAGGTGAAGGTCTTCACACTGGACACATTTAGCAGCTGCTGTACAGGCGATCTTGGTTTACCTGAAACGTTGGCAGTTGAAGCACTGAACTGTTTTGGGAGTGTTGAATTTGAAGGCTTCAGTGGTGTGGTGAAAGGTACCATAGGGTGATACCATCATGGACAAGGTTTTCTGCCATCTTCAGGTCGTTGGTGGTGAACCAGACTAAATGAGTCATGAGGCCTGTCCTGGTGGATTTGATGTGCTCTGCTCCGGTGGCATTGATCCCCTGGATTTTCAATTCCTACCTGTTCTCTTGCTTGGAGATATCACAGAGTAGACTTCAGATCACTAGGTCCTTCCATGAAAGAGATTCTCCTATGCCATGGACTGACAAGCCTCCCTTGGGTAGGCAGTGTACATTGGCGAATTTGATTGTGATTCTTTGAGTTCTGTGGTGTAGAGTCGGAGGAGTCAGAAGGTGGGTTCGTTGAGGCGATTATCAGGCCTTGGTCTGAACTGGAACAGTCATCTTGATTGAGCAGGGCATAGTGTAACAAGGAAACCAAAGGTGTCTCTGGTTGATCTTGTGCCATGGTCTAGGTCCAGGTAGACATACTATAATAAATATCCTAGAGAAGCTTGAGAAGGGCTGGTTACATAAATCAAAACACTTTTACATTGTTAAAGTGATTAGATCCTTTAGGTTGTTAGTATATAGCTTGGCTATCACCGACCAGTTGTTAAAAACTATCTACAGAATCTAAAAACTTACCTTTAGTCTTCAATACTTATTTGATGTCCTTTTCATTAAAGTTTTATTGTGCAACACCTTTTAGCTTTGTGACATGTTTTAATTTATTAACCTTTGTACAAGTGCTTTTTTTTAAGCTTACTTAAGGTATTTGTATTTGGTAAGTGTGAAATAATTATTAAAACACAAAAGAATGTAACCAACATATATTTTGTAAACCTAATTTTCCAGTAGTTCCAAATATGCAAATTCTAAAAATATTTTATACAAACATATTATTAATAATGCTCAAAATTTAGTTGTAATATAATTTTATGTATATAATACTTTGAAAGACAGATACATGTTATTCTTTCAGTTCATTTCATGTTCAGATTTGTTTATTTTGATGACAAAAGTGTGTGGTAGAAAAAGAAATTCACCTATATTATATATTTCAGTTTCTCGAGTTGATGTCACGAGGAAATTTTCCAACAAAAGAAATAGCTTTGGCATTGACAACAAATGAGGGCAATATAGAAAAGGCGTATTCTGCTTTGGCAAAATCAGCAATGACACCATTTCTACAGCATATCTCAGACTTAGGAGAGAGAACCAAAAGTAACAGTGAACATAATCTTCTCTGTCCCTCTCCAGTATCTGTTAGGTCAAGAACCTATTCAGGAGAGACAGAAACCACTATTAGTACCCAACAAACAGTAACTCACAACCATAATGTTAATTTCATGACAAATGAGAAGGATACAAAAACAAACTCTCGACATTCTCGTTTCCTTAGTCAATTAGCGTTGCTTCAAAAGGAAGGTAAGATTCAACAGAAATCAATAATGATGGAATTAGAAGCTAATGACAAAGAAGAGGAAACAGAATACTTAGATAACAGTGTGATTAATGACATTCAAAAAAGAGGGTTAATAGGATCCCAAGAAACTTTTGCAGGTGAAAACGAATACACCACAGATAGGTTAAAACATTCTGAGATAGAAACCCCATATTGTTATGGTAGTAAAGAGGAAATTGCCAAAGATGGTCATCAGCCTCAAGTTTCTTATATTGATGTAAAAGAATATTTTACAGATGGTTGTCCCATTTCTGATGCAAAAACACAGTATCTTTGTAGTGGTAAAGAGAAAAGTGACAAAGATGATTATCAGCTTCCTGAGATACAAATTGAAGAGTCTTGTATATATGAAAAAGAATATATAACACATAACCACCCACTTTCTCAGCATGAAGAACAAGATTTTTATAGTAGTGATGAGCAAAATATCACAGAATATTATTTTACAGACAAAGAAAAAAAAATAGTTAATGTTCATCAATTTTCTGATGGACAGAATCAAAATGTTTATGCTGAGGATGATAAAGTTAACATAGATAATCATCAGGTTTCTATAAATGATAGTTCAGATTTCCAATGTGACGAACACTCTATGAAATATGATAATTTAATAAAATCTAGTTTTCTAAAGTCAGGACAAAAGCTTAATAAAAACAGAGATGAAATCAATACTATAAAGCACTTGGAAACAGACAGGGATCTTTTGAGATGTTTTGAAATCAGTTCTGTACAAACATTAGAAAGAGAAAATGATGGTAAAAGACAGCCTGAAACCAGTTATGTGCAAAAGCTTGAAAAAAATAGAGATAATAAGGGACACTCTGAAGACAATGAAGAAGAAAGACATCATGAAATTAGTTTTGTACACAAGCTTGAAACAGGTTGGAAAGAAGAAAGACAATCTAAAATATTATATTTTCAAAAGCTTGAAACTGATGTAGGAGAAGTGAGATATTCTGAAACTTCTTTTAAACAAAATATTGGAGGAGATAAAGAGGATGAGAGACAGCCTGAAATCAGTACTATAATAAAACATGAAATAGGTGAGAAAGCAGAAATAACTTCTCAAACCAGTTTTATAAACAAGTTTGAAATGGACAAGATGGAAGAGAAACATTCTGAAATTACTTCTTCACACAAGCATGAAACAGACAAGAAGGTAGAGAAAAGTCCTGAATCCAGTTCTGTACACAAGATTGAGATAGACAAGATGGAAGAGAGGCACCCTGAAACCAGCTTGGTACACAAGCTTGAAACAGATAAGGAAGAAGAGAAACATCATGAGACCAATTCCATACATAAGATTGAAACAGATATGAAGGAAGAGAGACACCCTGAAACTACTTCTGTACACAAGATTGAAACAGACAGGAAGGAAGAGAGGCACCCTGAAACCAACTTGGTATACAAGCTTAAAACAGACAAAAAGGAAGAGGAACATCATGAAACCAGTTTTATACGCAGGATTGAAACAGACGTGAAGGAAGACAGATACCCTGAAACTAATTCTGTACAAAAGATTGAAACAGACAGGAAGGAAGAGAGGCACCCTGAAACTGATTTGGTATACAAGCTTGAAACATACAAGAAGGAAGAGAAACATCCTGAAACCAGTTCTGTACACAGGATTGAAACAAATATGAAGGAAGAGAGACACCCTGACACCAGTTCTATACACAAGCTTGAAACACACAGAAGGGAAGAGAGGCATCTTGAAACCAGTTCTATACATAAGCTTGAAACAAATAAGAATGAAGAGAGGCATCCTGAAACCAGTTCTATACACAATCTTGAAACAGATAAGAGGGAAGAGAAACATCCTGAAACCAGTTCTGTACACAGGATTGAAACAGATAAGAAGGAAGAGAGACACACTGAAACTACTTCTGTTCACAAGCCTGAAACATACAGGAAGGAAGAGAGACATCCTGTACACAAGCTTGTAACAGATATGAAGGAAGAGGAACATCATGAAACCATTCCTATACACAAACTTGAAACAGGTAAGAAGGAAGAGAAGCACCTTGACACCAGTTTGGCACACAAGCTTGAAACAGACAGGAAGGAAGAGAGGCACCCTGACACCAGTTTGGTACACGATCTTGAAACAGATAGGAAGGAAGAGAGACACCCTGACACCAGTTCTATACACCAGCTTGAAACAGACATGAAGGAAGAGAGACACCCTGATACCAGTTTGGCACAGAAGCTTGAAACAAACAGAAAGGAAGAGAGGCACCCTGACACCAGTTTGGCATACAAGCTTAAAACAGACATGAAGGAAGAGAGGCACCCTGACACCAGTGTGGTATACAATCTTGAAACAGACAGGAAGGAAGAGGGGCACCCTGACACCAGTTTGGTAAACAATCTTGAAACAGACAGGAAGGAAGAGAGGCACCCTGACACCAGTTCTATACACCAGCTTGAAACAGACATGAAGGAAGAGAGACACCCTGATACCAGTTTGGCACAGAAGCTTGAAACAAACAGAAAGGAAGAGAGGCACCCTGACACCAGTTTGGCATACAAGCTTAAAACAGAC